AAGGTTGTCAGTGTAAAAAAAGTGCTTCATTTTTTTAAATTTGGTTCCAAACAATATCGTTTGTGATATATTTTAATTTAATTTATTTATTATTTATTTTTTTGGTTCTCATGAATAAATTTACATCATTTGCATTATTAATTTGAAATGATCTCACCTTGCTACTGGAAATTAAAAAAAATGTTGGTATTAAACTGGTTTCAAAATTATATCATCAAAAATGAAAAGAAGGCGTCTCTCTAATTTTTTATAAAAAAATACACAGAATTATTCCTGCAATAAATCCAAGTAAAATAAATTAATTATGTGGTGTTTTACTTATGGTGTCTCGACTAGAATTTTGAGTGAAATTATTCGTAAAACTTTTTGTACGAGTGTAAGATTTTCTTTGTAAATGTCTCTTTAAATTAATTTTTTCCGAACAAGTCCAGAATCTTACATTTTGCGTTGTTTTATTATTAAAAATACTCTCTTGATGAAAAAGAATCAATAAAAACTCAACCTTGATACATATTTAAGCGATTTTAGATCTATATATAAGAAGACACCGGTCGTGGTAGTCAAGTTTGCAAATTTCGTTATGAAACGCCTAATCTTATTATTGTGCTTTGCATTTTGCGAAAATGTGAAACTGCGTAAATAAATTTATTTCATAATTTTTCAAAATTATTTTTGATTATTTTAGCGCCAAATTTTCAAAAATGCAATCGAAATCAACCCGACTTGAACCAATGTTTACTACAAGCGGCCCAAAACGGCATTTCTCAATTGACTCGGGCTTACGAAAAAGTCAACATCCCAAATTTGAACCCTTTTGAAGTGCCTGAAGTGACGGTAGGGCAAGGATCTGGAACGGTGGCAGTGGATCAAAATTTCAAAAATTGCCTATTTTCCGGTTTTCACAAAATGAAATTGGATCAGTTTGAGTAAGTAACACTTTTTTTAACTAAAAATATTTTTTTTTGTCAACTCGTAGGTTTGATTTTGATAAGAAAATTTTGCATTTTGTTGGGACGTTCCCCGATATTACTAAAAAATGCGATTATGAGTTAGATGGAAAAGTCCTGCTTTTACCCATCAGAGGATCAGGGAAAAGTACCATTGTTTTAGGTATGTTTCACCACAAGAAAAATTAATTTACTTAATTATTTTTTAAAGAAAATTTGGATGTCGATCTTGTTTTCCATTTCGAAGAATACAAGAAAAATGATAAAACTTTTATTAAAATCACATCAAATGAGCTCAAATTAGAGCCAGGACATGTCACATTTAATTTTGATAATTTGTTCGATGGTGATAAGAGATTAGGTGATAACATTAATCACGTATTAAATGATAATTGGAAGGAAGTGTTCGATGATGTTAAAGCTGGTTATATTGAAGTTATATCGCAAATTCTGATGACTCTTTTTACCAATTTCTTTGCAAAAGTGTCCCTTGAAGAGGCCTTAGACTAACAAAAAATAGTTTTAGTGTTTTTTTTTTATTTTTTAGAGTTTATTATGCATTTGTGAAATGGAATTTGTTAAACTTTTAAAATGTGAAGATAAAAGTAATTAATAAAACATTTATGCAATTTGTTTAATTAATTTATGAATATAATATAACCCAAGTTGTTTATTTTTTATAAATAATAATTTGTATTAAAATACGATTTTGTTTATTAAGAAATTTGTTTTTATAACAATTTCTCATTTTAGTGTTTAGCGCCATCTCTGAGTGAATTTATTCGCACTTTTCGTAGATACCTAAGTGAGTTTCTCTAATTTTCTTCAAGGTTGAGAAATTAACCAAAGCTTTTATTTGTTTCTTTTATAAAAAATAAAAAAAAAAGAAATTGAATTTGCAAACCTCTTATTACAGTTTCCGAATTTAATTATTTGTTTGTTGAATATTAGGAATTTGAATGCAAATCAATTTTTTACTTATTTTTTACATAATTTATTCAAACAATTAGCAACCATTTCCTTATTATTATAAAATTTGTACCAATATTAAATAAAAACAATAATAATCTTAACCTTGTTACATAATTAAATAGTTTTCAAAATTTATATAAGGTGCAACAGTGTAGGAATTTGAGTAGTAATCAAAATGAATCGTTTAATTCTTCTCGTTTTGTGGTTTACATTTTGTGAAAATGTGAAATTACGTAAGAGTTATTTAAATTACAAGGGAGGAAATTGTACCTTTTTCTCCCACAGATCGAGGTTATTGTTTGAAGCTAGTAACCACCAAGGGAGCAAAAGACACTTTCCCGTTGTAATACATAAATTTTTCCTACAACCCAGCAAGAAACACTTCAAAATTAGTTATCTCAATCCCCCTGAAGGGTAATTAGCTACTTTTCTTTTTGGAATTACGGTGGAAAAACTTACTTTCTGTTAGGGTCGTAGGAAAACATTTTTTTTAATTTTCACCAATTTAAAGGATAAGTTTTAGCGTCAAATTTCCAAAAATGTAACCGAAATCAGCCCGATTTGAAACAGTGTATACTAAAAGCGGCCCAAAACGGCATTTCTCAGTTAAATCGACCTTATGAAAGTGTAAATATTCCAAATTTGAACCCTTTTGAAGTACCGGAAGTGACAGTAGGGCAAGGGTCTGGAGCGGTTGCAGTTGATCAAAATTTTAAAAATTGTCAATTTTTTGGATTACATTTATTGAAATTGGAACGTTTTGAGTAAGTATGAGTGATAATTTTTTTTTATAAATAATTTCTTGCAGATTTGATTTTGATAAAAAAATCCTATTTGTAACAGGGATTTTTCCGAATATTACCAGTAACTGTGATTATCAACTAGACGGTAAAGTCCTACTTTTGCCGATTAAGGGATCCGGCAAAAGTAAAGTCGTTGCAAGTATTTTTCTCTATTTTAATTTATTTAAAAAGAAATATTTTTTTTTCCAGAAAATTTAGCTGTGGATGCTGTTTCCAAGTTCGAAAAATATAGAAAAAATATCAAAACTTTTATCAAAATCACTGAAACTGGTCTGAAAGTGAACCCAGAACGGGTGATTTTCAATTTCGACAATTTGTTCAATGGTGATAAGACACTAGGTGATAACATAAACCAACTCCTTAATGATAATTGGGAGAAAGTTTTTAATGACGTGAAAAGTGGTTATATTGCAATCGTGAGCAAAATTCTCACGAGTTTATTTACGAATTTTTTTGCAAAAGTGTCACTCGAGGAAGCTTTAGACTAATTTTTCAACTCACTTAATATCCTAGACACTGCACAAGAACATATTTATTGTAAACTAATGAAATACTTCGACTGATTGCCTCACTGTTACTTTCAGTATGAATTAAAGTAAATGTAGTGTAATTACCTGTTGAATAATCATAATACAATAAAACATTAATTAAAAATTAAAGCAGTTGATTAATTAATAGCGATTTAGCGATTTATAATGGTGATTTTTTCGCTGTTACTCCACAATCCGAATAAATCCTCAACAAGTAACTCGCTTCAGATTCGTCGATTCCCGCCACTTTCGGTACTATACAGTATGATCCAGAATAAAGTGCATACCGGACGGTTAACTGGCGTTCACCCGTTATGGTTACGCGTTTCGATTCCACACGTTTTGATTGTTTCTGGACCTGGAAAACACATTTAAAAAAAATAATTACACAGGGCGACAAATAAAAAGTCAACAACTTGACAAATTTTATATCATTTTGTTCGTCTCAGTGAGACCAATTAAATGCACTAAAAAAATTCAAATAGTCCACACACTTTGAACAAAATATTTTTTTTCTAATTTAAATGAATTTAAAATACTTTAACTTTAAAAAATCATTACTCAAGACCATTCTAAAGACTTGTCCTTTAGAATGGTATGCAATTTGAAATTGAATATTGGCAAACTTTTCTTCGAACAGTGTTCGAAGAAGTTCGAAGTAAATCGAAATAATCTAAGAAAAACCCTACGAGTACTTTTTTTTTTTCTTCGTCATCATCTTGTAGAGCATCTTTTTATTAGTAAGAATCCAAATTTTTAAAATAATATACCGAGTAGTTTTTAAGATATGATTTTTTGAAGTTAAGGTTTGCTAATCAAGGGGAGAAATGCATGTTAATCTTACTTAAAATTGCATTTTTATAAAAGTATTTGTTTTAAGACTCTTCTTTTGCTTAAAATGGTCAATTGCACCTTCTTTGTTCTAATTACAATAAACAAAAACTGTTTCTTTACTTAAAACAAACAAAGAGTACCTGCGTACTAATTTAAGCAAATAAAAAGTTTTTTTTGTTCTAAAAATGATCACTGATCATTGAGCAAAAAGGATCTAGAAGTTTAAAGCAGTAGCTTTAAATATAAGAACAAATCTTTTTCAAATTAAATGACTTTCCATTCAGATTCCAACTTGTTCATTTTGTTCTAGCTTTCTGAACTTTTTTTTGAAAATATTCTCAGCAAATGCTTTCTTATCACTTTCTACTGATGTTGAATGCAATAAGTCAGTTGCTTCGTGTGCAACTGTTATCACAACAACTACTACCTACAAGCTAACTGAAGCTAATTGTAAAATGTACCAACAAAATAAATTAGGTGACTTATTGCATTTAACATCACTCGAAAGTGATGAGAAAGCATTTGCTTAGAACATTTTCAAAAAAAGTTCAGAAAGATAGAACAAAGTGAACAAGTCAAAATCTGAATGGAAAGTGATTTGATTTGAAAAAGATTTGCCCTCATATTTAAGACTCGTGACTTAAACTTCTAGATCCTCTTTGCTCAATGATCAGTGGTCATTTTTACAACAAAAAAACTCTTTATTTGCTTTAATTACTACACAGGTACTCTTTATTTGTTTTAAGTAAACAAACAAGTTTTTGTTTATTGTAATTAGAACAAAGAAGGTGCAATTGACCATTTTTAAGCAAATGAAGAGTCTTAAAACAAATACTTTTATAAAAATGCAATTTTAAGTAAGGTTAACATGCATTTCACCTATAGGGAGCAATGTTTGATTAGCAAACCTTAAATTCAAAAAATCATATCTTGAAAACTACTCGGTATATTTTTTTGAAAATTTGTATTACAACTAATAAAGAGATGCTCTACACGATGGTAATGATGAAAAAAAATTTACTCGTAGGGTTTTTCTTAGATTTTTTCGATTACTTCGAACTTCTTCGAACACTGTTCGAAGAAAAGTTTGCCAATATTCAATTTCAAATTTTATATCATTCTAAAGGCCAAGGCCATCTCTTTAAAATAGTCTGTATTTGAAGGAAATCGGCCTAATAGTTATTGAGTAATGATTTTTTAAAGTTAAAGTATTTTAAATTCATTTAAATTAGAAAAAAATATTTTGTTTAAAGTGTGGACTTTTTAATTTTTTTTTTCGTGCATTTGATTTGTCTTACTGAGACGAACAAAATAACATAAAAATTGTCAAGTTGTCACGACATGCCCTGTGATTATTGGACTATAAACCGGATATAAGAGCAGTTCAAGTGGCAATTCGTCTTGTCCCAATTCGCGTCTAAATTTCTGCATTAAACCGACAACAACGTGTACTTCATTGGGCCCCCTGATTGTTAAAAAGTACTGATTTTTGGGCATTTTGGGCCTCCAGGAGTCCTCAAACATGTAGACATTCCAGTTGTTGACTTGGAAAGTGGGGTTAAGATGACAGATATCGATGAAGGTGAAACACTTTTTAAAATCGGTGAAGTTCATCCAAAATTCACCGTCGTTTCTTTTGACCCATAATTTGTCTCTGATGTCTTTTGGAACTAAGTTCCAAGTTTCGGAACTAGAAATTTTGAAAAATAAAAATTTTCGGAAATAAAAAATTACTTGTCATTCCATGGACCGTTCCATTCAGTGTTACCACCCCACGGGTTTCTCACTCTGATCAAATGAATTTTTTCATTTTTTAATTGTAAAGTATACAAACCGGTGATGCTATAAGCATGGTTTACAACTAAACCATCTTGACGTGTCTCGTTTCCGTTATTTTGGGACTAAAATGTAATTATTAGTGGAGAAAACTGATTGAGTGATTATCACACTGGTATTGAGCAACCCATAAATGATCCTTTATCGAAGGACATTTGGATTAATTCATAAATTTCTGGATTTCTTGTATCAAAAACTTCCGAAAGCCCCCCACATAAATCCTCCAAAGCTTCGTTAATTCTCCCACCCTCGATATTTAAATACGAACCGTAAAACCTTAAAATAACGTTGATTGATGATTAAAATTAAAAAAATCAATACTTTGCGTATGCTTTTTCCAACAATGGGGGCCAAAACTCGTCCGAATCACCCGATTTTAAATAAATCAATTGGTTGTTGATTGTTGGTAATTTGTCGTCGATGACTACATCAACCCATCGGCCGTATTGCCAAAATCTATTAAAAAAAAAAAACATTGAAGTATAAAAACTAAGAGACTAACCTGAAATGGAAAATTCCGACATAATTTTCCGAAAAATTTTGGTTCTCAGGGACAACCATTGAAAAAATTTTTGGGTTTGTTGTTAAATTCGCAATAGAAGCAAGGAACCAGCAATCTCCCAGTTGGCCTTGATTGATGTCGAAACGGGTGGCCCCATCTACGATAAATTTGGGGTTCTTGCAAATTTCCTGAAATGTACATGAAATGTTGAAATAACTATCAATTTATCCCCATATTTAAGTAAAATTTTGTGATAACGAATTTTATCTTATACAGGGTGCGCCAGAACTCGCGTCCCAGATAAAAATGCCATATAAGGTAAAATACCAGGAACATGGAAAAAATGTTAAAAAAATTTTGTCTATAGAAAAAATAAATTAGAATAAAAGTGTTTTGTGGTGTCCAGATAAAACTTGATTTACACTGTATATTTTTAAATTTTCCAGAGCTACTTTCATAGTTTACATAACGTTTCAATTTTTAATTTTTTAACATAAGTTTTATTTCTTGCCTTCATACTGACCAAAAAATCAAATATCTAAAAGTCACATTTTTTATTTCACAAAAAATCTAGTAAAATTGTTTTTGGAAAGCTGATAGTTGTCAAAAAAATTATTTTTCCCTTTGAAAGCAAAAAACCAAAATTTGAATCAGTGTTTATAAAAACTATTTAATTTCTTTGCATTTTTATTCTTAAACTTTTTTTTTATTAAAAATTAGTTACAAACTCATTTATTTCTAAGCATAAAAATTTGAATATTTGGGTTATCAATTACAAGATTTTTCTTTAAAATTTGTAATAAAACCTTTAGCTTTTGGAACTCTATTTTGTAAATTACATTTTTTTTTTATTTATTTGAGAACAAAACAGATTGTTTTTTACTACTAATTGGGCGCAGATAAGTTTATTAATAAAAATTTAAATGTAAAGATACGAAAAATTAGAAATGTTACCAAACAAATAACCTGAAGCGGAGCAAAATATTTATGAATGAAAAATATTATTTATCAAAATATTTTCGAAATTGTCCTTTATTTGTCTACTTATATAATATGTAAATTT